GTGGACTTGACCGCCTGCTTTGCACGAAAGACCATGGCGGTTGAGCCGGGCCGAGTTCTGTCGTGACGGACGTCAGGTGGAGCTGACAGCCGAGTGGCGAGCGTGCCGGTGCTTGGTCCAAGATGCCGCCGGGCGAGGGTTCGATTCCTGGTCGAGGCGAGCCCTTTTTTGGTGCTTGCTGAGTAGGTAGTCAACGGGTTCCATGTGCTCATCTCGCTACAGTCTTGGCCAGTTTATTTGGATGCCGGGAAAAAAACGAATGTGGTGCTCAGTATTCGAACCACCGACCATCCGCGTTCCGATCGCGCGCTCTACCGACTGAGCTGAGAAGGCTGTTGGCATGAAACGGCCAATGTCCGCTGTGGCTGTCTCTCGAAAACACATGGACAGCAGAGCTAATAAAAAAAGCGTCCCTACCAGGAATTGAACCCGTGGTCGATCGTGTTTCGGGGGCCACGCCCCGGCATGCTCGCTACTCGGCTGTCAGCTCCACCTGACGTCCGTCACGACAGAACTCGGCCCGGCTCAACCGCCATGGTCTTTCGTGCAAAGCAGGCGGTCAAGTCCACCTCCTCATCGCGCTGAGGCCCGGGTCGGAAAACACGAAAAATCGTCAATTGATGAACTTATTTGAGCAGGGCGCCAATTTTTTGCCGTCTTTTCGTGTTATCCGACCCGGGCCTCAGCGCGATGAGGAGGTGGACTTGACCGCCAGCTTTACACGGTAGACCAAGGCCGTTGAGCGGGACGGGGTTCTGACCTAACGAGCGCCAGGCAGAGCCGACGGGCGAGCGGCGAGCGTGCTGGGGCTTGGTCCACTGGACGCCGCCGGGCGAGGGTTCGATTCCTGGTCGAGGCGAGCTTTTTTCGGGGCTTGCTGAATGCTGAGTAGGTAGTCAATCGATTCCATGTGATCATCTCGCTGCAGCCTTGGCCAGTTAATTTGGATGCCGGGAAAAAAACGAATGTGGTACTCAGTATTCGAACCACCGACCATCCGCGTTCCGATCGCGCGCTCTACCGACTGAGCTGAGAAGGCTGTTGTCATGAAATGGCTAATGTCCGCTGTGGCTATGTCTCTCAAAAACACATGGACAGCAGAGCTAAAAAAAAAAATTGCGTCTCGACCAGGAATCGAACCTTAGGTCGACCGAGTTTCGAGCCGATGCTCTGGCACGCCGCCACTCGGCTGTCGGCTCCACCGGTGGTTTCTGAGTTCAGAACTCGGTCCCGCTCTACGGGTAGTTGTGTCCGGTGCTTCCGCTTTCGGCTTGTCAGTAATTATCTGCAGAGCAGGGACCTTGATTTTGCTTACACCCTGGGGGCGGGGGCGTCGGATATCATATTGCCATCCACACCCTCTTCAATCCGTTTAAGTAGCTTTTCATTAGCTGCGAGGGGCCCGAAACACATACGTTTGGGCCGGCGTAGTGTTCCGCCTCAGCTCCTTGCTCAGTTCGCTCGGCCCTCGGCCACAAGCACACCTTTCTTCTCCACACTACTATCTTCTTTTGTCTGCAGTCGGTTCGTGTGAAGTTGGGAAGCTGCCTGTGGCCGTGTTGCAGTTCCCTCCCCTGTCCGCACCTCCGCCCTCTTGTCAATTTTGTTTTATTCGGAAGTAAGTCGACTTATTTTTAACAAGGCGCGAGGGTCACACGGCCATACGGTGAAAATAGTTTTTTGTACTATTACAAGACCCGGTCTTGTGGATCTTATGGAGAACGCCCAATGGCATCCAAGGTCCGGGTCTTATAATACAAGAAACTATTTTTACCGTGCACGCGTGAGTTTCGCCGCCAGCCCTGCCCGCCCAGCCCACCCAACCCCTACTCCACACAGCTCCAGCTGTGCGAGCGGTGGGCCGTGCGCCCGCAGAGTCGAGGATAGGCAATGTGAATTCACGGACGTGCTGCGGTGTTGAGCCACACCCTGTACACTGCGTTTAAAGCGCTGGCTTGGCTACTATGTCATGTCAACTTTAGTTTTAGGAAAAATTACTCCATAGACTTCTTTGATCTTTACACCTTGGCTCAGTTAGTCGGACTTCACACTTCTATATTGTGCGACCGGATCAGACTGATTAGTTTGAGATTGGGGTTTTTGGAATGATGTTCACATAATGTCGGTCGTCATATGACCAATGCAGAAGCACGTATTTTCAAATCTGTTCCAAGTAAAACATTGAATAAATAATAAAATAATGCTTTATTGCCCTGGATACATATTATACATGAATACGGGAAGGTCCTGGGTGCTTTTGATGGCCAACTGCTATTGTGTTTGGGCAATTTAAATCTATATTCTAACAAGGAATGTTTTTTCACAAAGCGCTGTGTGAATGCGAACATTACTTAGAATAATACTGTAGTTTTTCCAAAAGAGTGACAAACGAGAAATGCCTATATGAGGCAGTAGGCACTGCATAGACTTATCAAATGCAATACAAAGTTCGCCATCAAGCAGCTTATTGTAATAGGTTGCGTAGTTTCAGTGCCTTTTAAATGAAATTCTGAAAAGTATGGTTGGAAAACAGTATACTCATTTTTAAAAGAATTCCGTTCACACGCCGTGTTATTTAGAATAATCTACAAACTTAACATATATACAGCTATTTTTCACATGGTCAATTTTGGGCAGTTAAATTGACATTAACATAAAATTGTACATAATGAAGAATCATTTCCCACATTTGATATGACTTAACATTCCCCAGGATGCACCAGATTAATGCTTAAAGTACTCCTGTTTGTAGATCACAAATATGTTTATGGTATACATAGTTTTACACATTCTTAACCAAACTTAGCTATACATCCATCGTTAGTTTTAAGGCTAGTGAAATGAACACAATAAAATCACAAACAAAATATCTTATGTGAAATCTTTGATCTGTATAATGAATCCCCAAAGGCAAATAATTAATCGGTTCCTTTTTATTCTATCTGAAATTGAAAGTTATCCAACACAGTAAGTTTCGGATGTAAGGTACCCACTGCAATGCCTGTTTGATATGCTGCCACCTACTCTTAGATCAAAACTGATTACCGAAACTATAATATCTATAATTTGATTTTTTCAGTATACTCGAAAAAAAAGTCCTTGTAGTCTGCCTTTTTAAGATGATATGTTGTGTGTAAGTTTACAGACTTAATAGCGGGGACAAAAGTAGAAAATCTCCCATTAAAAAAAAATTAAACTTAGTCATGGGGAAATGGCTGATATGTGGCAATGCCGGAGCCAGTTTTCACATGAAATTTAGAGTTTCGACAAGGACTTTCCCACATACATGTAATCACAATACACTTTGGTCAGCTTACTCTAGTATACAAGTTTCGTCAAAATCGTATACAGGGGTAAATATTTCTCCTTGCATGGAAGACTCACATAACAGTAATTGCAATTGAGCTCTTAAATAAAAACATACCCTAAATTAGCAAAAGAACAGATTTTTCATTAATAAATTTTCATTTGGTATACACTGTTTGAAGTCAATTGGTACTTCAATATACCTCCTAACACGAGCAAATTAGAAACCATGACCCAGAAGATGAAATCAAACCATGTTCCTGTGCCACCACATTCAAACACTAATTCTTAATCAATAAATAATTTAGTTCCCAAAGTGTTGATGTCATCAAGTTAATAAATAATTTAGATTCCAGATATAGCTGCCTTTGGCTCTTATGTAATTTATTCTCTTGACTAGAATTCCTCTGAGGGGGACGGATTTCGTATGTCCACGTATAAACACACATGAACCATATGTCTGGATTGCCTTTCTTGCAAAACGCAGAAACAAAAATAAAAAATAAAAATACAACACCTAACGAACTTTAACTTTAAGTATAACATGTAGAAGAACTACAGTAGGTCACCGCCAGCGCCTAGAGGCAGCTCACGGAGACCGCGGTCCTTGTGGCCCCCACGCCGGCTGGCTGGGGTGGGGCTGAGCGTCACTGGAGGCCGTGCTGGAGGCCGTGCTGGGGGATGCTCCCGGGTGAGCCAGTTCTTGAAGGACTGCACCGGAGAGGGCTGTAGCTTCTGGCTGGAGATGGAGGCCCGCCTGGCCCATGGCCGGGCCCATGCCGCGGCGGGGAGTAGCCGGCGGGGGCCCCTGCAGCAGGCCCGGGCCCAGGCCCGCCGGGCCCAGGGCCAAGGCCGGCCCCCCCCAGGGCCGGTGGTGGGCTGAAGGTGCCAGAGGGTGGGCTGTAGCAGGCGCCCATGGGTGGGCTGTGGGCGCCCCGAGGTGGGCTGCCGAAGGGCCGGGCCTGGGCGACCAGAGAGAGGGGCCCAACCCCGAGGGGCCCACCCCCGCTGAACAGAGGGTTGGGGGTGGTGGTGGGGGATGGTGGGCCCCCGAGGGAGGGCGGGGGGCTCCCGCCCAAGGACGAGTTGGCTGGCGGGTTGATGCGCTTTTCCTTCTGTCGCCTGCAACACGAGATGCCCACCGGCTAGGTTACATGGCAGAAGAAGCTCTTCGCAGACTACGGCAACGCGCAGCGACCGCCCCGTTGGCGCATACACTCCTCCAGACCTCACAACGGAAAGGGCTCGACCAGCACAGGCGGCAGTTTCGATCATGAATCTATCAAACCACGCCCTCTGATCTGCCTAGACCACGAAACATGCCTTCGCAAAAATGGAATGCGAAGCTCTACAAAGCAGCGGCACTCCGCACAATAGTTGCTCGCGAAACCAAAATGTAAAATTCTAGGCGGCACGAGAGCACTACACTCATGTCTCTGGGTAAAAACAGACAGCAGCAGCGCAAGAGGAGCGGGAAAGGGCGGAGGCGAGGGGCTGAGGAGGGCACGAGGCTGTCCGGGCCAAATACAGCGCGCCGTTTTGCTATTCCACACGATCCTGGACGAGAGCGGAGCGCGGCGGCGGACGCGGCGGGATGCGGGGCGCGGGCAGCGGACGGTGCGCGGGCGGCGGCTGTGCGTGATTCGTCATAAATCTGGTGACAGCTTCCCTTCCCTCCCCCCTCTGCCTCTACTACTACTGCGAGCCGAGCCGGCGTATACGCGAAAGCAAAGACAAAAGGATATGAAAGTGCGTGCAGACAAGAGACGGAAACGTTGCGGGGACGTCGCAAGCCTAAACGCTGTGCGATGACGAAAGATGAGACGGTTTGCGAAGTGGTACTGAGCAGCATGTGCGGGCATGTACCCACAAAACGATGTGAGAAAGGAACTCTGGGCATGGGGTACGCCGATTCACTCGGAAAACGAACGGACTGGCCTTTCAAAGTCGCTAAATTTGAGCGCCTTCACAAAGCCATTTACGTGGTCAGGGAGGAATAAAATTCGTCACTCTAAAGCCGTCTACACGACATTATACTAAAGCACTAGAGAAAAAATACGGGCCCCTTTGCGCCTTTTTATGATTTTTTTGCGAGCATGCCTCTGCCGACTAGACTGTGTCCTTACCTCCAGTAGAATTAAACCTGCCAGGAAGCAAAAACACAACAAGAACAGCGAGTTGGAAGGACTCATAAGGAAGCAGCAGGGAAGAACACGTCGAGGAAGCAGCGACACCTGGGGTTGTCCCCACCACCCCTCCCCTCTCTACGCCCCTCCAGATTATCGAACTGCCTCATTGGATATGGAGTGGCCGAGCCAGGCCAGGCCGACTGCAGAAGTTTCACTTCCGCGTCTTCTGCTGCGGCCACGCGCGCGCCGCGCGCCACTACTACTACTACTACACTTGTACCGAGCACGTAGGGCAGAGAGTTACCTTCTATACCGCAGCTCGCACCAGGTGGCTGCTCGAAAACCCCGTCAACATAAAAAAAGTCCGTCGGGCTTGATATGATATGGTCGCGGCGTGAAAAGTATATATAATAATAATGGAAGTCATGCAGCTCTGCTTGACCGTGTGACGCGAAACTGACCGACCCCCGATGCGATCCGCCGCCACGCCGCGCCGCCGCCGGGCGTGGCGACTTTGTCGCGCAGCTCATAGTTCCTCCCAGCCGGAGGAGGACGTGCGGTGGTTGAGGAACGATCCGCCAGTCGCTCTGCGATATGGGCCGCTGGGAGAGGACTCATCACGTCCTGCTCGCCACTCCTAGAGCTCTCTTGGTCGCGCGCGGAATTGCAAAGTCTCTTCTCGCGACGCTCTCGCGCTCTGGTGCGTCCGCGCCGCGTCGCCGTTTGCGACCATATGCTGGCCCCGAGCAGTGGACGCGTGAGACCCCCCCCCCCCCCCCCCCCCCCATCCCCATACCCTCAACTGAACACGCTCCCGCGGTCCGAGCACATCGCCGTAATCGATGAAGACGAGACCCCAGCAAAGGCAACGGAAAAGAGAGCCGCCACCACGTAGGCCGGGGCGGACACTGTCCACCGGGCCGGCGCCGCGGCGTGGCGGGGCGTGGCGGGGCGTGACGGGGCGTGGCGTGGCGTGGCGCGGCGCCAACGGGTAAGGCCCGTGAGGCTAGAGCCGGCAGGGCGGCACGACGCATTCGTGTCCATGTTGACAATTAGAGCGGTTTGGTGGGAAACGACCGGGGGTATGGAGCTGCTCTGCGCGCTGCGAGGCCCCCCTGCATGGAAGTCCATACGCCGACCCGCGCGGGACGCGACGCGAGGCGAAACAGTTATAGTATGGGAGAAATTATATGAGGATGATGAAAAAAAAGTAAGCGAGAGAAGAGAGAGAAATTAAATGGTAAAGGAGTTTGCACGGCCAGGCAAAAGGTCCACGGTAAAGTGGTTCCGAGAGGAGGAGTAAAAAAATAAAAGAAGAAGAAAGGAACCAGCGGGGAATGCCTCGAGGAGGACGAGACACGCAGTCACGTCCTGGCGCCTTGAGTCCTCCGGCGGCCCAAAAGCAGGACGCGGGCTCGTCCACGCAGCATGCGGAGCACGGACAGAGTACTGCTAATGTGCAGGGCGGCGCTCGGGCTGATGGACCACGTGGCATCATACCCTTTCCAACAAATCAAGTAAATTTAAGCCCCCCAAAAAATGGAAAAAATTGTAAAAAAATTTGAATTACAGTCGGATTTTTGAAACACATTTGATCAGTTTCGCAAGGGCTTCCACCGACCCGCACCGTTGCTACTGCTGCGCCTCGCCGCCGCACGCCCCGCCACGCCACACGCGGGGCGCACCTGTTAGCCACCGCTTGTTATTCGGATCGGAAGCGACTGCCACCTCCACCTCCACCTCCTCCTCCACCGTCACCTCCACTTCCACCGCCGCGCAGAACAAGAATAATGATCCCAAGGCGAACGACGTGTCAAGTCCGCCACTCGTGATGAATATCTCCGGTTTTACGGAAACGGTCTGGTAAGTCAGGTAGTCTGCCCACCCCGTCCTACCCAAATGGTGCCTCGTCTGCAAATGACGGCTCCTCCTGCGCCTGCGCCCTCTGGGCTTCCTGCAGCTCCTTTTACTCCCCCCGCCGCTGCAAATCTTTTCATAGGCACAAACTCACCTGTTACAGAACCACACCCGCACCACCTCCTTCTCCATGCCCAGGTTGTCGGCCAGGATTGAGATCTCCTCAGACGTGGGCTTGGGGTTCTGCAGGAAGCCGCGCTCCAGGGCGACGCGCGTCGTCGTCTCGATGGACGTCCGCTTCTTCCGCCGCCGCCCGATGGCCTCCGGGGTCGAGAGCGGGCTGCTCAGCGAGTTGGGGTTGCTGAACGAGTTGTCCGCGTCCTCGAGCCACTTCTGCAGCAGCGGCTTGAGCTTGCACATGTTCTTGAACGACAGGTTGAGCGCCTCGAACCGCGAGATGGTCGTCTGGGAGAAGTCGTTGCCGTAGAGCTTGCCCATGGCCAGGCCGACGTCACCCTGCGTGAAGCCTGCGGGGCCAGGGGTTAGGTGTGAGAGGGGGTAGAGAGGCGACCAGGGGTCCAAATTCAAGGGTTCAGTGCACCAATATTTATATTTTCCCTTGATTTCTTTTAGAAAACAAAATATGATATATTTCAGTTTTTTTGCCTGTTTTTCCTAAATGTTTCAAAGTATTTTCTTAATTTTTCTGATTTATTTTGAGGGTGGACACGGATTTTTATTTGAACCAACTCACCCAGCTTGATTCGACGCTGCTTGAAGGCTTTGGCGAACTGCTCCAGTTCCTCCAGCTCCACCGACTCCTCCGGCGACGGCTCGGCCAGGGCACGAGGCGTCCCCGAGCCGCCTTTGGGACCACCACCGCCACCGCCGCCTCCGCCGCCGCCGCCACCAGCGCCGTCCGGGAGGCCGGCCCCCATCCCCGGGAGGTGCGGCATGTTCACCACGCCGCCGCCGCTGTTGTTCACGCTGCGGCCCAGGGCGGACGCCTTGTGCGGCCGCCGGTCCTGGGGCTGCTGCCGCTGCTGTCCGGACTGCGCCGAGGACTGGTGGATCTGGGGGACAGTAGAAGAAAACGTGTCACCCTGCCAGAAAATCAATGGGTAAAGTGCGCATTAGGTGGCTGGCTCGCGCCCCTTTGAGTCGTGGTCATACTGTACCGCATTACACGCGTGCGTGCGGGTTGCCTACCCGCTCGGGTGTTTCAGCCCCCGCGAGGCAAAAAGCGATAGGCAAACCCATCCGCGCGCCATGCAGAAGGCAAAGTACGACACGACTGCGGATGTGGACGGCGCTAAGAGTCGTCGCTCACCTGTCCGCCCAGCGAGGTCCTGGCCAGGTGGTGCGCGCCCCCGGGGCCGCCGGGGCTGGCGGACGGGCCTGCCCTGAGCCCCACGGGGGGAGCGCGGGGGGCGCCGGGGCCGCTCGGAGGCCCTCGCCCAGGGAAGGCCGGCGTCCCCTGCGAGCCCAGTAGAGCCTGTGAAGGAGGAGAGGTTTAGAGAGAACCTGCGCGGGGGATGCACCGCTGGCGACCACTATGGTACCTACCTGATTGTGCATAAAGTAGTTGGGTCTGCCGGCGGCGGCGTTCTGCAGGAACAGGTACTGCTGAATCTGCTGCTGCTGCAGCTGCTGCTGGAGCTGCGACAGCAGCTGCGGAGAAAGCTGCCCGGGGAGGTGGCCCGCCGCCACGGCGCTGGCCGCAGCCGCGAGCTGGCTCTGCAACCGCATCTGGGGATTCTGCGCGCCCAGGGCGCTCAGGAACTGCAAAACGGAGAGAGGCGAGAGGTTAGTCACCAGCGGTAGCCCTGGTCAGCGCGAAGTGGTCTGCACCAAAGGTCCTCAAGAGACTTATGCATCAAAAGTATGCATCAGCAGAGGTCTGCACCAGACGTCTGCCCCAGAGATCTGCCCCAAAGGTCTGAACCAGAGTTCTGCACTAGAGGTCTGCTCGAGAGGTCTGCTCGAGAGGTCTGCACCAGAGGTCTGCACCAGAGGTCTTCACCAGAGGTCTACACCAGAGGTCTGCACCAGAGGTCTGCACCAGAGGTCTGCACCAGAGGTCTGCACCGCGCCCGGGAACGGTAATGACGGGCTATAGGTGAGCTCCCCCCACCTCCTCGCACCCACGGCGTACGTACGGGGCGTGTCCCACCAGGTCCCGCCCCGCCCTCCCGTGACCGAACTCTTGTCTTCGAGATATCAATTACCCTAACAACAATCCATTATCACTCGCATTCGGGGGGAAGGGGGGGGGGGGCGCACGTACACATACACACACGGACAGGCTCGCGCCTCATGATGATACCGGCGGGTCGCGCCACACCCCGCCCCGCCCTGCCTCGCCACACCTGGCGGGCAATTACGTGATGGGGCGGGTGTGCAACGTGACACCCCGAGGTGACACCACCGCGAGAGAGGGACTGAAGAGCGAGAGAAAGGCAGACCGAGGGAGGGAGAGATAGAGAGAGAGAGAAGGGTCCGCACTGCTGTGAAAACAATTACACTGACGGCTATAGGCCGCGCTACGCCGCGCCACGCCACCGCCGCCGGCCGGGCTGCACGCCCCAAAGCCTTGTGCGGATCGGGGGCCGGCCGCGAAAAGTCGTTTACCGGCCACTCAATGATTCCCTGGCAGAAAACAGGTTCCTTCTTTGAGGTGGATATTGAGATGGAATACAGAGCAGAGAGCACCCCCTCCCTCCCGCTGCCCTTCACCCTCTCCGCTAGCCAGCCGACCAGCCAAGCAGCCGACGGGCCGGCCCCACGTTTCCCTATGTCCACACGGCCAACTTAGCAAGTCCGAATCGTGTTTGGACAGCCCGGGGTCCGGCCCCGGCCTCCCCCTCCCCCTCACAGTCGTGGAGTACGTACGGACCTGGAGCACATCCACTCTGAGCGTCGTGCGTGTGTGTGTATGTGTGTGCGCAGGCGCGTGTGTGTGAGCGTGTATATATTCCGCTCCGCGCTTTTTTCCTCTCCCGGTCTCGGCGGTGGCCGCCGCTCCCGCCGGCCGCCGTTCCGTCGGCGGCCCGGCGCGCCGCCCGTTTGATGTGAGAGGGTTCCGGGATGATCCATGCGCATGTCTTATGCCCAAGGAGGAGAACCGTCCAGTTTTGTCGGGGAGAGCTCTTCTGGTCCTGCTTGGCAGAGCGGAGCGCGGGGAGCGCGCGGGAGAGCTGCCCGCTGCCCGAGCCGCTGCCCCACTCAGCCCCTCTCGGTACGCACGCGGGCGCGGCGCGTCAATTTTGGAAGGTTGTTGTCGGCGGCAAGAGGGTCCGAACGGTCCGAACGGCGCCCTTTAGGATCCTTTCCTATTGCCAGCAGCCGCAGGCAGGGCGAACATCGCCATGTCCGCCGGCCTTCAGCCCCCGCTAGGCCCACCCGCGCCCCGGCTGCGTAAATGCCGGGCTCATAGGCCAAATCAAATAAGGACGCATGGATCGAAGGAGAGCGGCCGATGACTCTGACGCGAGGCAGAATGAGGGGGTGGGGGAGGAGACAGAAGAGGGGAAAAAAAGAAGTAAGTGTCTTGTATCGAGGACGGAGAGCAAAAGGAGGCCCGCATGATTGTCAATTCCAACAACGCAGTCTGTGAGACCAAGTACAGTATGTTCCGCGTTTGGAACGGCAGCAGCGGGGAAAAAAAAAGAAACGGCAGGGCGGAACGGGAAGGAGAGGGGGGGAGAGAGGGATGGGGAGAAGGAGGGGGGGGTCGATGAGAATTGAAGAGGGACGGGAAAGAGGAAGGGCAGCGACTAAAGCGGTGGCGGTCATGTCATACTCCTGAATGACAACTCCTGTCGGCATACGGCCGGGGCCGCCGCCGTCACGAGGTCTCATGATGAATGATACTGACCAGGTTGAGGGCGGCGGGGGGAGTCGGGCCCGGCGTCACCGAGCCCTCGCTGTCCGAGTCCTCGCCGCCGTCCCGGTCGTCGTCGGGATGCCTGTCCTGGAGGCGGTCCGCCAGCTGGCTCGCAAGCCGCTGCTCGAGGAACCGGTGATGGGGGAGCTGGTGGAGCTGCTCCGACGGCGACGACCTCCCCCGGTCATCGTCGTCGCCGACCCCGCGATCCCGGTGCGTCCTCGACAGGGGGCTGGCGCTGTCCCCGCGGCCAGCGGGACCTGAAACAAACAAGAACACGAGTTACGAAAACTCCATACACATCCCAACGGGCCGCCGCCCATATTCGTACGTGTTTACTTATTCACTTTCTGATTTCAGGCGGCAGTTTGGCTACATGCTTTCCAAATCCCCTTTCTGTCCGTGCCGAGCATACGGTAGTTCACGTCCACAATGGTCCGTCGCTGCGGCAGGGAGGGCGCGTGGGTGGACAAAACCTTAATTCTCTTTTTTTCCCTTCTATCTCTCTCTCTCTCTCCCTTCGCAAGTGGCCTGCAGCGGACAGCGTCATGCCCCCGGGCCTGCCCGCCGGCCTCCCCTCGCCCAGACCCGGGCCGCCCACCCCGCACGGCCGCGGCCAGCCTGCCCAGTCTGGGTGATTTCCATGGATTTCCATGGCTTCGTGAACACGCAAATTGAGTTTCCCTCGCACACGGACGGACGGCGCGCGCGCGGTGCGGGCGGCAGGGGTCGGGGAGGGGGAGAGGGGCAGGGAGTGGAGGTCAATAGCAGACACTAAAACCCCTGACATTTGGGGTGGCTGTTGCACTGGCCGGACCGCAGGACGTCCGTTTCGTTGGCCCTTTCTCCCTCGGGCTACAGTCAGCGTCCAACGACGACCATGTGTGAGAGTGAGGGGGAGAGAGAGCGGCGAGAGGGAGAGAGAAGAGAGAGGAGCGTGAGACGAGAGGGGAGCGAGAGAAGAGGGGAGAGAGGAGAGGAGAGGAGAGAGAGAGAAGACAGAGGGAGAGAAAGGGAGAAAGAGCAGGAGAGAGGGAAAGAGAGAAAGAGAGGGGGAGGAATGTGAAGGAGGGGGGCGCAGAGTGGCCGTGTGAGACCATTCGCCGTGCGGCGGCTGGCGGCGCGGAGAGCCCGGGACCTAAGAGGATTTCAATAAAATAGCCATCGGAATGAATGAAGGCGAGCGGAGCAGGCGGAGGGTGGCCATTCCCTCTCCCTTGTGCCACGCCCCGCCCCGCCTGGTGCACCGCCACCGCGCGTGACTCGCGGTCCGCACGGTCTGCCCCTCCCTCCGCGTTTGACATTCACATCTCGCGCAGTGTTCGCCCTTGTTCGCAACTTCCTCCGTGCGCCCCTACTCCCCGCACACTCGGCCCTTCCACCCCCACAATGCCAAATTTTTATAATATTTTCTGGAAAAGTTGGGGCAAGCAATCAGGTCGTGGTGCTAGGAAAATGCGAATTGCCCAATTGCCGCGAAATGAAACGAATGCATTTAATAATTTCTCGGCGTATTTCTATCGACCCGCGATGAATCCGATTATCATCGCGCGATCAGTGAATGCGAATCACAGAGAGATGATATCAGAGCAGCGCGGGGTCCGAATTGAAAGCCGACGGCGCATGCGCGCTGCCGCTGTCTACCCTGAGCTGAGCAGCACCCGCCCGGCCCCTGCCTGCAGCTCCTGAGCGCGCCCCGGCGGCCACCTTCCCCTGCTGCTGCTGCTCCAGCGCCTCCTCCTCCCCGAACGGCCGGAGGAGCTCCTCGGGGAATCAGACGACACCAAAGTGACAAAAAACATGACTTTGGCCCGGGCCAGCTCCTGCCGCCGCCGCTGCTGCTGCTTTTGCTGGTCGAGCAGGATTTGTGTCCAGGACCTCTGGTATGGGGCCGGCCGGGGGTCCCAGGGGCGGCCGGCAGCAGCGGCGTGTTTATTTATGTGTCCAGCCTACGTCCAGCGCGTCCAGCGCCGCGCGCCCCGCCCGGGCGGAGCGGCCATTTCCACCCCCCACCCCCTCACCCCTCCTCGGTGTTGACACAGCCCTCTGTTTCATAGGATTTGGACCTCGGCCCTCCTCTTCCGCGACGCACTTCCCTCTACTCAAACAGTGTCCAATTTATAAACGTA